CCCTTTCCCCCAACTCCCTCAACCCTCAGTTTGTTCTCATTATTTAAGAGTCTCTCATGGTTTGCCTCCTTCCCTCTCCTTATCTGTTTTTTCCCCTTCCCCTTCCTCATGGTCCACTGTTAAGTTTCTCCTGTTTCACATATGAGTGAAAAAACATGGTATCTGTCCTTCTCTCCCTGACTTATTTTACTTAGTGTAACACCCTTGAGTTCCATCCACGTTGCTGTAAATGGCCAGATGTCATTCTTTCTCATTGCCATGTAGTCCATTTTATAGACAAACCACATCATCTTGATCCATTCATCAGTTGATGGACATTTAGGCTCTTTCCGTGATTTGGCTATTGTTGAAAGTGCTGCTATGAACATTGGGGTACATGTGCTCCTTTGCATCTTGATTAATATTTGAAAATATTTATTTTCCAATGACTGTTCACCACTGTTCTCTTTTCTAAATAGTCTTTATCTCTCTGATTTTATTTCTCTACTTTTCCCTCAGTTTTGCCACTCTTTTTAATGTCTTTTTGGTCTTGCCATCTCTTCTTGCTTTTTGGTCTTCCAAGTAGACACAGTTATGTCATTAAGGTTTTAAAATTTGCAGGAAAATTTTTGGCCACTGTTTTCATCAGCATCTGCTCCATGGCATTTTTGTCTGAATTGTACATTTTTCTCCTTTTATCTTAAAGTATTTTTGTTTGAATGTAAGTTTCTGTCGTAGTGAAGAACGAGTTGGATTTTCTTAGGCTAGCTCTTTTGTACAGGGCTTCTTCAGGGAAGCCCAGGTTGCAATGATAATCTTACATCCAATTAGCCAGTTTACATAACTCTTTGCTGGGTAGAAGGTTTCCTGCAAATGCGACTGTGTCTGATTTTATAGCATTGCCTTCTCTGCTTTTCTATACCAAATGAAGTCTGAGAGACTTCTGTTACCCTACTTGCCCCAGCTTCTGCACCTGTTTTTGCAAAGAAAGGATATAGTTTTGCACTTCAGGATGTGTTTTTTACCTCTAGAATGTAAATTTTTGCCGACACTTTCTGTGATCTGTCACTGTTGGGTCCTTTTGACTTCTCTGATCTACTTCCAGCTTCATGTCTTCTGATCTTGGCTGCTTTGGGTAATGCCGTCATATGTTGTAGAGTCTGTGGATTTTATATGGTTCTTCGTTTCAGTGAAAGTAAAATTTTGAGAATTTGTTGTTGTGGCTTTGAATGAGTCCTAGTAGAAGGGGAAATGTTGACTTATATAGGGTGATCATATGGGAATTTCTAATTTACTATTTATTTTTTTATTTAAAAATTTTTTTTTTTTACAAATAGTTTATTGTCAAATTAGTTTCCACATAACACTCAGTGCTCATCCCCAAAGTGCCCTCCTCCATGCCCATCCCTCCCCCCCACATCCATCAGTCCTCAGTTTTTGTCAGCATTCAAGAGTCTCTCATGGTTTGCCTCTCTCCCTTTCCCCCACCATTTCCGCCCTTCTTCTCCCCCTTTTTCCTCCGTCAAGTTCCTCCTAATCCTCCTATACGTGCAAACATATGATATTTGTCCTTCTCTGCCTGACTTATTTCGCTCAGCGTAACACCCTCAAGGTCCATCCATGTTGCTACACATGGCCAGATTTCATTCTTTCTCATTGCCATGTGGTATTCCATGATATAGATAAACCACATCTTCTTGATCCATTCATCTGTTGATGGACACTTAGGCTCTTAAAAATGTTTATTCACTTCCGAGAGACAGAGAGAGACAGAGTGTGACCAGGCGAGGGGCAGAGAGAGAAGGAGACACAGAATCTGAAGCAGGCTTCAGGCTCTGAGCTGTCAGTACAGAACCCGATGCGAGGCTCGAACTTACAAACTGTGAGATCATGACCTGAGGTGAAGTCAGATGTTCAACTGACTGAGCCACCCAGGTGTCTCTCTATTTTGCTATTTTAAAAAAACATCCAACCTTCTTTGTTCTGAAAATCTTACATAAATTTTTAGGTACTAACAAAGCAATCAAACATAGCTGTCCACTGGTCGGAGTGAAGATGAGAATGGTGTTTAAGTGGTATCTACTGTTTAAAATTACAGCGTATGGCCTTAAAGTTTAAAATTTGCAGAATGGCCAACCCAGGAAAATAAGGGATAACCCAGGCCTGCAGTGAAGGGTAGAACCAAAAGGGTTTTAGGACTGAATAAAACTTGACCAGGTGATCTTGGACCATAGCTCAGTCATGCCATCTATAGCTTTTTCTGCCTTCCTATAAAACCTTCCATCTAAGCCTAATTCTCATTTCTTCAGTTGCTTTCTTGCCTTTTGACCTCTGGACATTTTCTGTGGGATTCTTTGCTTTTCTATAAATTACTAAATTTTTTGAACTGGGTTGTCCATTCTTGGTTTTCAGTGGTTTATTGTTCATCTGTCTTAAAAAGGGATCTGAAGCATTGCTTAAAAGATACTATGAATGAAAAAAAAAAAAGATACTGTGAATGAAACTAATGTAGCATAATATGATAACTATACTAAAAAAAGATACTTTGACATTTAATATTTGTTTTTAAAATCTGATCCTTTTTTATTTAAAAGAAAAAATGGAAGCACAGGAAACAGTTGATTATCTATTATGTATATCATAGTTTATGAGTAATGAAGGTAACTTTACCTTTTATAGATGTACCAAATTAGATGTTTCTGAAAACATAACCTTGTAGCACACTCTACTATAGACTACTTATTTTGTAGATTTCAGGAAGGAATTGAATCTCAAATATGACTCAATAGCTTCTACAGTCTGAAAAGCAGATTTAATGTTTGAATATATATCATTGTCCACATTTCTAATTAGGGACACTATTCTGTATATATAATTTTTGTGCATTATAATTTTTATCATTGTTTGAGATTACTCCTATGGTAAAATGGCAGAAGAAGTCAGGGGTTTTGTGTATCAAAATGATACTATGATACATATCATTTGTGGTAAGATACATTTTTGAGATTTTTCTCATAGTGATGATGGATTTACTCTGAACTGTCCTTTTCTTCATTATCCTTAAATTCAAAACCAGTATGTTTTAGAAGGAACTTAGCCTTATAAAAGTCCTTAGAAATAGTCTGACTTACCTACTGTTGAGCTCTTAACTATGATATGTGTCACAAGAAGGATCTCGAAACGTAGAGCAAAATCTTTCTCATTTCCCTCTTTTCTTTGTGGTTTCATTTCAACTTTATTATTCTGTGTGGTTGACTACAGAGGATCATGTAGTATTAAGGATCTCATGTATTTGTCCTAATTTTGCTTATGGATGCAACCTTAACTCTTAAACCACAAGTTTTGTCACTGTTTGTGGACCCATTTTATTCAGTATTTTCCTCCTTTCTTTTAGATCTAAAGTAGATCTATTTTAGACTTTTTTCTTCGTGTTTTTTTCTTAAAGGTTTCAGAACTGACAGATGAAAAACATAAATGTAATTGGAAGAAGTGTTATAGGCCTGTCTTGGATCAGCTTCCCATGTGATACAGAACACTTTACTGATGATTTAACATTTCAGTGTGGTTGAAGAAGAAATGGATGTTATCTTAGAAATGGAATAGAGTTGTGTTTAGAGTTTCAGATTTTTTTTTTAAATGTTTTATTTATTTCTAGGAGAGAGAGAGAGAGAGAGACAGCGTGAGCAGGGGAGGGTCAGAGAGAGAGGGAGACACAGACTGTGAAACAGGCTCCAGGCTCTGAGCTGGCAGTCAGCTCAGAGCCCGACGCGGGGCTCGAACCCAGGAACCGCGAGATCATGACCTAAGCGAAAGTCGGACGCTTAACCGACTAAGCCACCTAGGTGCCCCTAGAGTTTCAGACTTTTTAATGTTGTTATTGATTTATTAAGTAACACATTTAGGAAGAGTTTAAGTCAGCTGGTTTATTTTATAAAACTCAGCTGCCTGGGTGGCTTGTTGAAAAATACATATTTCTGGGCCCTGTATTTAGACATTGTGGTTTATAGGTCCGAAGTGGGCCCTGGAATTAGCATTTTGACAACTACATTAGGTTTTCTAATGTAGGTTTCTTTGAACTGACCTTTGAATAAAACTGCCCTAGAGAAATTCTACAACTGAAAATGATGTATGATAAATGAATTAGTTAAATCTTGTTGGGAAAAAGAAAGCCTCAAATTTGAAAATATTCCACTTTAGAACCAGTTTATGTGACATCTTGAGTTTACTCATCTCATGAGGAACTAAATTTTCCCTTCAAAAATTTAAGTATTCTAGATTTCAGCGTGTTACTGCTGCTTTTTTTTCCCTCGTACATTTTCTAGCATCTTGAGTCTGGGCAATGGCAAATTAGTTGTACTCAGTTTTTAGCTCTAACTAGATATTATGAAATTTCCTATATCACTTGAAAATTAAACATCTACATTATGGCATGCAATCTGCATTTCCTTTCTGTGCTCTATCTTGTCATGAATATGAAATGAATAAGGTTTGTTTGTTTATTTATTTATATATTTATTTATTTAGAGAGAGAGAGTGAGCACTGGTTGGGGGAGAATGAGAGGGGGTGAGAGAATGAATCTTAAGCATACTCCACACCCAGCATGGAGCCTGAAGCAGAGCTCAATCCCACAACCTTGAGATCATGACCAGAGCTGAAATCAAAAGTCAGACGCTCAACCAACCAAGACAACCATGTGCCCTGAATGAGTTTTAGTTTAGTTAAGCATTTAAGTTATCATTCAGTAATATATCCAAAAAGATAAATTGCAAGGAAAAAATTGTTAGGTCAGAAGCCAATTTCTGGTTTTAGTTTTTCTTTAATAAATTTTTGTTGTTGTTTATTAAGATATAGGTGTTTATTGTTATTTGGAGTGTATGTACCAAAATCTTTTGGTGAATATTTTCCCAGATACTTACCAAGCATAGTTTTCCATGGTCTGGCTTTAGTTGTAAATATACAATTGTTTTTTGATGTCTCTTTTTTTAAGGGATAAATAAGATTTCTGTTTTTTCTCTTTCAGTACTGTTGTCCAGACATGATAAATAATTTTTTAGGACTGGCTAAAACAGAATTTTCAAGTACAGCAAATAAAAATAAGACTGTTGATTCAGAGAAAGGAAAATTGATCATGTTAGTTAATGACTTTTATTATGGAAAACATGGAGGAGATGTTCAAGAAGAACAGAAGACTCACACAACCTTTAAGTGCTTCAGTTGCCTGAAAATTCTTAAAAATAATATTAGGTATGTAAATACTTATTTTTATTTCTCTTTGAAAATTGGAATGCTAAAGATACAACTGTTGTATCTTTATCTTGTATTTCTCTGTGTCATTCTAGATAAGCAGTTTTAATACTTTTTATTAAGAACAGAGGCACATTATCCTGTTGAAGAGCTTTTGTTCTTTCTTGTAATTTAGAGTTGACTCCTGGATCCACTTAGTTGTATCTCTTTAAGATAACTTAAGAAAGGACAAACTTTGTTTCAAATAAGGGAAAATTAACTTTTCCCCTATATTATCACTGTTTTAGGGATTTTCATGAGATCATTTTCATTTTTAGCTGCTTTTGAATTTTATTTTTCTTCACAAAAAGTACCACTTCAGTATGTTTTGTCCAGTTTGACCTCTTCCATATTGATCTTACTTAATGCTCAGATCTTTCAGTTCATATTTATAATTTTGGAACGTTTACCATGCAGGAAAAGTGATCTTCTTTAGAAAAATACCAGTTCTAGGAAGCATGTTGGCTTTGATTTCCAAATTTAACCTCTTGAAAACTTAGAAATTTAATTCCCAGTGTAATTTTGAAGACTTATACATGTATACTTTAAATTTTACGACCTTTACTTTGTAATCTTCGTGTTACATGGCATATTAGTAGTTGTCATCCTATTAATGAGTATGTAACAAGCACAGAGTTGCAAGATGTATTGATTGATATTTTTCATTGGTTATAGAGCTTGACATTTATATTAGGTAAGGTTGTTTTTCCACCATTTTATTATAAAAATTTTCAGACATTCAACAGAGTTTTAAAATTTTTACCACAGGTATTTGTATACTTACCACCTTGATTCTACCATTAACATTTTACTGTACTTGCTTTATCAACATCTATTTGATATCGTGTATCAAACTGTTCCTTTTCCTCACACATTTCCAAGTAAGTTGTAGACATCATTGGTTTGTGTGTGTTTATACAAACATACATACGTATGCTTTTCTGTGTTTATATTTGACAACTATTATTTGTAAGTAGCATTCTTAGGTACCAATAGGTTACTTCTGGACCTATTATTTATTTCATTTTCCTGTGAGTTCTTAGGTCAGAAAAGAAGGATATAGAAAAACCCTGAAGTACATTGTTATATGCTCCTATAACAATTATTAAAGGTTTATTTCTGGTGGTAGTTTATAGTTTCCAAATCCTTTCACGTATGTTATTTCATATGAGTTTCACATTTCCTTATCACTTTTTATTAAACTTTAACAGCCATCAATAGTTAATGGTCTTAGTAGTTTAATAGAAGGGTTATTGTATTTTTTGGTATAACACTGAAACAATATTACAGTATAATGCTGTCACCTATTTCCATATTCTTACTCCTTTAATAGTAAAATATATCAGAAAAATCCTGTTAATCAATGTGGTGAATGCATAGAAATATGTTTCACTGACTTAGTTCTTTGTTATACTTAAATATTATATATGTGATATGTAGTTATTTCAGCAATAACTACAGAAAAGAATTCATCAATATAATTAATCTGAAATTTCAATAATTGGCTCTAATTCTTAATCATTTCAGACTAAAATGTTAAAGGAAAAAAAAACAGTCTTTTTTCCATACATGAATACTATTTACATTTTTAAATAAAATTTATTTACTTGAAAGGATTACCACAAAAAGCAGCCATGGTCATGAGAGAAATCTTTTTGCTTTTGAGATTAGCCCACTTAGTATTAAACATATGAAAACTAACAATTCCTTTGTTATTATTTCAGAAGAGTAGTTACACATTTTAGAGTACCTGATTATTTAGAAGTTTTAAGCAAACAGCCCTTATAACATCCAGGAATTGAGCATTTTTTAAAATACTGATTGTTTAGTAATGTGACCTTAATGGTAAATACTTCATAACCAAATAAGTTATATATGTTAAAAAATATTTTAACACTAAAAATTGGGAAGACAAACTGATGTTTATAGAGAATGGTAAGAAATTAATAGCTATAGATTTTTATTCTCTGCCTTAGCAACATACTGTGATGTGATATTTTTTTCTCCTGCATTGAGTGTCACCAAAAACAGGTTTATTTTTTCTTTGAACATCCTTGTAAGAAGTTTGGTTTTTTTGTTTCCCTCTTTTCTATCTTTTGGTTTAAGAGCATGAGTTCTTGGTGGAGGCTCATATAACAATTGAGAGTAAGCTTTCTAGTTATGAGATTATTTTGTATAGACACACTTTAATTGCTTAAAGTTGTGAGCTGAAAATTTAATGGCTCATGACCTTTTCTCTATGTATAATATTCCAAGGCTAGGATTTTCTATAGGTGTTTGTAAGGCTTGTGTTAAAACCAAAGGAAGACAAAAAGATACTTCAAAGTGTGCCATAACTTGTTCAAGAGAAGTAGTATTGTGGAGGGGGAAAAAGGAGATAAATGTTATATCCTTCATGGTGACTGCTATCCAGATTAATAACATTATCACTTACTTTCTAGATTCTTTCATTTACAGGCTCAAAGTGAATAATTGTTAATAGTTGACCCAGACTAAAAATTGTTATAACTTTACTTTCAGATTCAGCAGAAAGCTTCAGTAAGCTTTTTTAAATAGGTGTTCCCATTTATATTGCACTCTTTGCTGTCGAAGGTCATAGTTCCTGCTCATAAGAAGCCTTTTAGGGAAGCTGAAATAGCAGAATGTAAAACTGAAAAATGGACGTTGCCTACAAAGGGCACAGTCTGCAAGTTAAAATGAATGGTCTGTGCTAACAGTAAACCAGTATCATTAAATAAAACAAAAGGTTCTTGTAATTGTAGGCATTAAAATTGCTATTACATGCATTTAGAAACCAAGACACAATTAAAAATACCAGTAATTTGTCTTTTAAACAGCTGGAATCTATTGTATATCTTCACAGCCTTTAAAGATTTCTCTCATGACTCTAGCTGCTTTTGGTGGTAGGGTTTCCTTCCTTTCAAGTATTTTATTTCCTTCCTTTCAAGTAAATAAATTTTGTTTAAAATTGTAAATAGTATTCATGTATGGAAAAAAAGACTGCTTTTTTTTCTTTAAAAACATTTTAATCTGAAATGATTAGGAATTAGAGCAAATTATTGAAATTCAGATTAATTACATTGATGAATTCTTTTAAAACAAAGATGAAAAGAAGATGTTTAGCCACTTAATGAAATACTTATTTAAAATCTACAGTTTTCTAGAAGACTTTAAGGCTTTTGAGATTTTATTTTAAGTAATGTATCTATATTTTTAAGATTTAGATTCAGATACTTAGTTTTTAGATTTTTGTTTTTAAATCTGAATTTTTGCACCTGTTGACAATCATTTATAGGTTTATGAACCACATGAAACACCACTTGGAACTTGAGAAGCAGAGCAGTGAGAGCTGGGAAAACCACACCACCTGCCAGCATTGCTACCGTCAGTTTCCCACACCATTTCAACTGCAGTGTCACATTGAAAGCACACATACACCCCATGAATTTTCTAGTAAGTTACAGTATTGGATATTATCAAATTTGTCATTGTAACTCTGAGAAAACCTTAAGAAGCTTGTTAGAAAAATAAGACTAAGAAAATTGACTTTGGAATTTGGGGGAAAAATGAAAAAGCTTTAACTTAAAACTACCAAAATTAAAGTTCCTCTTGTAAATAATTCATTAAGGTAAATAACCTGTGGGTTATATGTGGGGAACTAAATTAAAAACCTCATATCGTAGTTTTCAAATATGAAATTTTTAAAAAGTGACTATAATCATAGTTAAAGTGACACATTTTGGAGCTAGATAGCTTGAGTTTAAGTCCCAGGTATGCCTTTTAATAGAACTGTGTGATCTCCGGCAACTTATTTAATATTTGAATAATGAGAATTATAGAAATACCTGTTTCATAATGCTGTTATGAGAATTAAATGAGCTAATATAAGTTAAGTACTTAGAACTGTGTTTGGCACACAATTAGAAACTATATAGCTGTTATCCGCTACTACCACATTACTATTGATATAGATATATAAAATGAATTTTATTTATATATGTTTGTGTTTGCCTGGTAAGGATACTTCATTTTTAGGCATAATTGACATATAGTTTCAGTTATACAACATAATGATTTGCTGTTTGTGTGTGTGTGTATCTTAAAATGGTGTAATGTCTTTTTCCTCACCACTTTTAGCCATTTGCAAAATCTGTGAATTATCATTTGAAACAGAGCATATTCTTTTACAACATATGAAGGACAATCATAAGCCCGGTGAAATGCCATATATTTGCCAGGTATATATATATTTTATTGTGTACACAGTGTTTGGTTTGTTTGGTTTCTCTTGTTTTGATTATAAGATTTAAACTTATTGGGCCAGGGGTCAGCAAAATTTTTTTTTCTAAAGCACCAGGTGGAAAATATTCAGGCTTTCAGGATCATATAATCACTGTTGCAACTAATCAACCCTGCCATTATAGCACAAGGGCAGCCACAGACAATAAGTAAATGAATGTGATCTGGCTGTGTTTATTTAAACTTTATCTATGGACACTGTAATCTGAATTTCATATAATTTTATGGGTCATGAAATATATATTTTTTCCTATCTAAAGATAAAATTGGTTACTAAAATAAAAATCCCTCTTGTAAACTATTAATTTAAAAACCTTTGATATAACTTATGCATTGTATGTAGGGGTCAGCAGAGAGTTGAAATTGGCCCACAGGCCATTTTTACCCACTCCTGATTGGACAAAGAATCCTGTGGCTAATAGACAAATATAGAGACTTAATATATAGGGGAGAGTGTAGGCATACAAGGGAAATATGAAATGCTTTTACTTACAGAGAACTCTACCAAATGCTTTGGGATTAGTATATTTTCAGAATTTGAAGAAATAGAAAAAGAAGATAAAAATATATTGCCAATGCCATATAGCCTGGAAGCCATTTACAATCTAAAAGAAAGTGCTGTTTTATGTAGCAGAAAAAAACTTTATAGGACAAGAGGTGTTAAAGCTTGAAAATTCAAGTCAAGATGGGGATGATAAATAAAAATAGCTGATAAAAAGAAGGGAATCTAGTTATGTTTTGGGAGCTATCCCCAAACTGAAAGATAACTTTTCTCTCTCAAAGATTATCTTTCAGTGCTTGCATTAACGGGTTTCTTGATTGGATAGTTATGAAAGCTGAAATGAGTAGCACCAATGTTCTTCTAAACAAATGACCTATTATTGTTACTTTGTAATTGCATATCATTATACATTTTCAAGTTAAACTAAACCTTTTTTATTTGTAGGTTTGCAATTATAGATCATCATCATTTTCTGATGTAGAAACTCATTTTAGAACATCGCATGAAAACACTAAGAACTTGCTATGTCCATTTTGCCTCAAAGTTATTAAAATTGCAACACCCTACATGCATCATTATATGAAGCATCAGGTGAGATTTACCAATTCTTGTTTGTTCATATTTTTTTTTAGCAAAAGGATAGATTATTACTGAGAACATTGGTTAGATTTGTTCTACAGGGAAGCAAGGTTATTTCAAATGACATGATTAGTTTTCAATTTATGCAGATACTTGTGAAACTTTCACTTCTTTTCTGTGATACTTTTCTGGTGATGTTGTAGCTCATGAGTGAAAATTCTGAAAAATAGCTGGAAATCAGAAACTTAGTATTGAAGGAAAAAAGGGAAAGTGAGTGGAATATTCAAACAATTGGATATTTCAGAGCCCAGGAGTGGATATAGGAATGATTTTGAAGGTAGTTATCAGGTGTGGGAATGATTTTGAAGGTGGTTTCTTTGCACTGAGAAAGAAAGAAATTGAGGACAAATAATCTTGTTTTCCTTTTTCTCTTCCAACCTTACTTCCACTTTTAAGCCCCCTTAATTATGAGAATACATGTTGTTATCATTGACCAGAAGTGGTCTTTTATAGCTGCCAGTGATAAAGGAAACAGTAATGACACTGCTTAGTACATGAACTCTGCCAAAGAACTGTATTTAGGCCATCACTTGTTTTGTGGATGACTTATGTTAGTTCTGCTATGTAATTTTTGGGACCCAATATTAGCACTTATACCCTTCTCTTGAATTCTGATGTTAATGCTTACTAGTTCTTTTCCTGAAGCAATTAAACGACCCTTTGTTTGGGTTGAAAACTTTTATGTAACACTGATGTTGTTTTTAAATGCTTGAAAGAGCAACAACAGTGTCTTTGCCAAAATCAGAACTCACTGGGTTTACAGAATCTGATCATGTAATCAAGTTTTGCCACCTCCCTAATCAGCTCATTACATTTTCTTACTATTGATGAAGTTGACACACTGATTGGTGCTCACTTTGCTTTCAGTTCTGGTCATAAGATAATCAACTTGTGGTTTTTAAATGGGAAAAATCATAAAAGTAGAATTTCCAAGTGAATTTTATTTTACATTTTTATTTAAATTCCAGTTAGTTAACATACATCTAATATTAATATCAGATTTAGAATTTAGTGATTCAACACTTAAATACTACACCTGGTGCTCATCACAAGTGCCCTCCTTATCCCCATCACCTGTCTAACCCATAGCCTACCTCTTTAAACATTGTTTACCTCTGATAACCATCTGTTTGTTTTCTCTCATTAGGAATCTGTTTCTTGCTTTGCCCCTTCTTCACTCTCCTCATGTTCAGTTGTTTTCTTTCTTAGATTCCACATCTGAGTGAAATAATATTTGTCTTTCTCTGTCTTATTTCGCTTAGCATAATACTCTAGCTCCATCCATGTCATTGCAAATGGCAAGATTTTATTCTTTTTATGGCTGAGTAACATTCCATTGTGCATGTGTGTGGGTGTGTGTGTATATACCACATCTTCTTTAACCAGGTGAATTTAGTATCACCTATGTTGTGACTGGGATGATACTCATCTTTGAGAATCTCTGGCAAGATCTTTCTATTCTAGGTTTCCTCAGTAGTGTTCCATTAGTTGTTAGTAAATGTTTCCCCCAGAATTGTTACTGGTTTAGAAAAATTTGACAAATGCCTAGATTTACAATATTAAACAGTTTGTTGTCTGGTTTTTAAAATAGGACTTCTTGAAACTTTTAATATGCTAATGAACTTTGTGAATCTCCAAGCAAGGGGTATAGTATGCATTAGTCCCCAAACTTTTTTGCCATTGATGACTTTCAAATGGTACCCCTTTATTTGCACAATACCTATTAACGTTTTTTTGAGGAATAGAATTTTGGAAACACTATTTTTGGTACTCTTTATTTAACCTTTGGCCTTTAACTTTGAATGAGAGAATGAAATATTAATAGTAGTGCTATTTCTTTATAGGACTTTTAACATAATTTTCTCCACATGCTTTCCTAAGCTCCAGAGTGAGATGTAGATGTGGGAAGAATAATAATTATGAAAGAGATGTGTGAGCCCACTCTGTGGGCTATGTGATTTATAAGGTTTTTATATGCTGAGTTTTGTCTTAACTTGCCATTGGTGCCCAATTTTCTTTGGTTCATATGGAACATTCAGAAGGCAGGCAGCATCAGTAAAGAGGGGCGAAATCTGTTAATAAGGATCATCAACATTCTTGAATGTATTTATAGTTTGCATGATTATTTACAAAGGCTAGGACACCATAGTTAAGCAGGATTATGAACTTATAATTGAGGTGACATTATTAGTGTGATATTAGGCAATACGAATTGTTGACTCTTTGGCTCATTTTATTGTCTTCAAAGACTTTGGTTGTAACTTTTTTTTAAAGGAGTTGCATTATTAAGTTTCGGGATTTTAGAGCTTAGAATCCAGTTTGTATGACTTTTAAGAAATAATAAAAATGATTTTGGATGTGTTAAATAAGCTCATTAGATCTTTAATAAAAATATTAAGCAGTTAACATATGCCATCACTCACCTTATGGCAGCAGCAGGTGCTTTACAAGCATTATCACATTCAATCCTCAAAATCCTATATTATTATTTCTAATTTATAGATAGGAAACAAAGTTTTAGAGAAAGTAACTTGCTCAGTGTCTTATTACCTAATAAAAAGCAGAATTAAAATTTGATTTCACAGCCCAGGTTTTTATTGCCTTATCACAGAGTCAGATTGCACATTGGCATTAGATCTAAGGGCAGAAATAACATGTAGTCAGAATCACTCTTAAATCCTTCAAGTTTCCCAAACAACGTGGTATCAAAAAGTTCAACACTGGTAATTATTTCTCTATCCTTAGAATAGATCACTATTTCTTTGAGTGAACATGATGTTACTAAAAATGTGCTGTTTTCTTTATTACTCCTATCACATTGAAATGCATACATACATGAGACACATGCAAGACTTGTGTCCAACTAAGGGAATAGTAGATTAATGTATTCTGTCTCATGATTCTGGACAAAAGTTCATTGAATGGAATGGCAGACATTTTGAACTAGTTAAATTGTATCTGCTTCTTATACCCACTTTCTCTGTCAGTCTCTTGCTTTCCGCCTCACTGTCCATTTATTTAACAGTCCATTTATTGAGTGCCTTACTATGTGCTGTTTTGGCTATTATATAATAGTGAAATAAATATATGTGTTTATGTTTGAATGTATATGCATGGTAACTGTTGATAGAAGGAAAATGTGGAAGATGGAGAGTGCCAGAGAGGTGTTGGGAGTGGAGGACTGGTTGCTCTTATGTATATATTGTGGTAAAACACGAGCCTCTCTGAAGGAAATAAAGTAATAAGCCATGTGGAAGTCTGGGCGAAGAAACATTATACAGACAGTGAAGTGAATATATATATGGGACACTCAAAATATGTCAGAGGACAGTTGTGGCTAGAGTAGAGAAAACTAAAAAGAGAAAGACAAGTAGGAGATAAGGGTGTAGCAATAGAATGCAGGCATGTTTATGTAAGGCCTTGTAAACCAGAAACAGGACTTTGGAAAGCCACGGGAACGTTTTAGCATGTGAAAGATCTACCATGTTTTAAGATCATTGACAGCTATCGAGAGAATAGACAGGGAGGAAAGACTATGACAGGAAGATAGGAGATTATTATAGTAGTCCAGGTGGTAGCAATGGTTTAGTAGCAATGGTTAGAAGTAATGAGGAGTGGAAAAATTATGAAAGTTTTTGAAGGTAGAGCTGACAGATTTTATTAGCGTGTTGGTAATAGGATGTGTGAGTGAGTTACTGATTTTTTTGTCCTAAGCAGCTGTAAGAGTAGAATTTTCATATTCTGTCATAGGAAAAAGACTAAGAAAAGAGCAGATTTGGGCGGCAGGGGGGAGGGGAGGCAGGGAGAAAAATCCAGAATTCAGTTTTGTCCATGTTGATTTGAGATGCATGTTAGCTATCAGGTAGTGGTATCCAGTAGACAGTTGGATAGATATTATTTAAAGCCTTGAAACTGGATGAGGTAACCTGGGGAGTGATTATAGGTAGAGAAAAGATTTCTGGGATTTGGATTCTGGAGAACTAACTTTCTTTTTGTCTTGATATCTGATTTGTGGCTGAGTTTTCTTTTTTTCCTCCTTTTCCTTCAGCACACATAAATGAATATTTAAAAATTGCCTGTATCTGTGATATAATCCAATTCACCACACTTCTAAAATAGTCTTAAGATGCAGCTAGAATAGTCATACAAACACATTATATTTATATATTACTTTGAATTTTGTAAAGAGCTTTAATTTATGAAATGCCTGCTGTGTGCTAGTAATTGTGCCAGGTACTTCTTAGTATTTTACCTTGTTTGAATTTTATAAATGAGTGAGTGTATTTAAATGGAAATAGTGATATATCTGGCAGATTGCAGCTTTTGAAAAAACATTCTTTTGTATTTTATTGTTTAAGTTTGTGTATATATATATATGTACATCCATATCATTTCTAAATTAATGAGAGCATATAGGTAAGATTGTAGTTGATATATAGTAGAAAGAGCACTGGATCAGCAGTCTTGCAACATCAGTAACTAGTTATAGGATAGTGATTCAGTTATTTTGGGTACTGTTTCCCAGCTGTAAAATAGTTACAGGATTGGGTTTCAAGAGGGACTCACTCAAGAGATCTCAATCAGTAAGTAGATGGGGAGTAGTAGTTCTGATTTATGTCTCTACATCAATACTATGCAATGTCGATGTGCCTATTCAAGTTAAAATTAATTAGATAAAATTAAAAATTCAGTTACACTTGACATATTTCAGGTGCTCAATAACCATATGTGGTAGTGGCTAGCATCCTTGTCAGTTTAGCTATACAACATTCTCCTCATTGCAGAAAGGTATAATAGACTGCTCTATACAACCATTTCTAGTGACCTTCTTTGAAATATCTGACTTTATTTTACCAACTTGTCAACCAACTGAAAGTAGCAAAACTTAAAAAGAATTTACCTTTTTCTAGGATAAAGTATAGTATAGCTCATTTTAACCATATCATGTGTCTAAATACTTTAAAATTGTAATTAGAAGAGATTTCACACCACTCTTGAGAGAACTTTCATAAGAACCTACTGATAGACCTTTTATGTTCAATGTCACTACATTTTTGAAACCCAAGTACTAATACAAAGAGGGCTTTTAGAAATGAAATAACATTGCCTTCTATATGGGAGGTGTAAAATACTAGTTTTAAAGTTATTTAGGTATCATTAAAATTGAATCAGAGCAGTTTCAGGACACAGCATTTGTGGTTTTAGAAATTATTTTTCCTCCCTTTTTCTGTTTTTTTTTTTAAACAGAAAAAAGGAATACATCGTTGTACAAAATGCAGACTGCAATTTTTGACATGCAAAGAGAAAATGGATCACAAGACTCAGCATCATAGAACATTTATAAAACCTAAACAACTAGAAGGATTGCCTCCTGGAACAAAAGTGAGTTTAAATGTGTTGTGTTTTTAACATTTTGTATGATAATAGAATTTAATTCCTGCCTCCTTTTATCTATTGAATATAATGCTTAAAAATGATTTCTGATTTTTATTAAGACTTTAACTTTAGGTTTTGTCATTCTTATGTCTAGAAAAGAAACCTTCTGACCATTGTTTTATAGTCGGTGGTATGTGCTGTGCTAAAGTGATAATTCCTTTGTAAAAAGTGCCACTAGATTAACTGTTCCCTGGGTCAGTGGGTTGTGTCAATATCATATAGGCTATTTCTGAGCTATTCCAGTTGGCAGTGTATATGTCAGTTTTATCTGCTAAACTATAAGATGCTTGAGATCAGGACTCATGTTTTATCTTTGTGTCCTCAGCATCTGACACAGTACAGCAAATGCCATAGGTTCTTAGATGTTTATTGAAGTTGTTATTACTGGGTCTCCTCTCAGAGAAGCAAGTTCTGCTGCTGGATAGCATTATGTTTTAAATGAGCAAATAACATGTCTGACTGCATACTGATGATTGTAATTTACTTTTCCCTTTTTGCCTTATATACCTCTGTTTTCTCTGACTTCTTTATATACAGTCAGCTCTTGAATATTTGCTCCAGTGGAGGGAAACAGAGGCATGGATAATCCAAAGTGAAATAATCCCCAAAACATTTATATTTGGCTTTGGGTACTTACCTTTGAATGTGGGTATGTCTGTTATTTGAATTAACTAAAACAATATAAAGCCATGCTCTGAAGACCTAGAGCAAGAGAAGCTATCCAGCATCCCTGCAATCCATTCATTCCATGCTGGGACTAGACATGCAGAACACTAATGTAAGCAGTGCAGTCCTCTCTCATATTTTCCCTTATTAATAATAATAGTAATAATATTAATAATGATACTAAATGTTTTTATAGCACCTTAGAATTAGTCTTTCAATATGCTTTTTCATACATTCTGTTATTTAATCCATACAGCAATCCAGTGAGGAAGACAAGGTAGTTATTGCCCCATATTTTAGATATAGAAGAGGATAACTTACTTATTTAAGGTCACATGGCTAGGAAGACATGGTATGAAATTTAACGTCAGGTCTTTTGATTTCTAGTCCAGTGCTTTTGTGTGATATCAAAATACATGTATTTCATAGGACTTCCTCATAGTCTGTTCCTCCAGTACATGGGAATGTAGTCAGATGATTAACAAGAATGTTGGTAGGCAATTGTTTTTCATTGTCAGCCAACAAATATTTCTGGATACTAAATGATAAGCTTTATATTAGGAAATTCTAAATATAATTAAACTTTCCATATAGTATAATGAATTGATGTAACGTCTCCCATAACCTTTGTGTACATAAATCCTGCTTAATGAGCCCCTGAAAAGAGGAGGTCATGTTCACTTTAGATCTGTTTGTTGTATAGTTGTTGAGGATAATACACGCCTTTCTAGAATTATTTTTCACACTGTGAGATTTAAATTTTGATGTCTATGTTTGTGAATTATTTTACTTAAAGCAAAGCTTAAAAATAGCTATGGAATGTGCTTTTTTAATGGTCTTATAATTTGCATTAACTCCTAATTATACATTAATAACTGTTAACATAACTGATATCAGTACAAAACAATGTAAAACTACAAGTGAATAAATATCAAGTTTAATTTAATTGGGATGAAAATCTAGAATAAATGGAAGACTTAATCTAATTATGGTTTATAGTTGCCCTTTCCAAATGTTTGATGTTTTTTATTATACAGTGATATTTTAATATTAATACCATGATTAATTTTCTAAAGCAAATATTGTCTCCATTTTTGTAGGTTACTATTCGAGCTTCAGTTGGACCTCTTCAGTCAGGATCTTCAACTACACCTTCCATTAGTGCAAGCACTTCTACCCTTCAGCTCTCACCTCCAAGGACTAAAAATATAACTGCTAAAAATCCCACAAAATCTAACACAAGCAAACCTAATACAACTAAACCCAATACAAGTAAACCTAATGCAAGTAAGCCTAATGGAAGTAAATCTAAATATAAATCAAAAATCTCTAATATGCAAAAGAAACAAAGCACATTGGCTAGTAGCAATAAAAAAAGTAAAGTCAATACAGCATTGAGGAACTTAAGGTAATCTTTTATTCCTCATATATAATTCTAATTTAATCTTAAGTATAAAAGCTATAATATAAATTTACCTTATTACACATATCTCTTGTACATTTATATGCTACCACTATGACATAAAGGCAAAGAAATAATAAAAAGGTATTTTTTACAACTATTGAGCAGAACCTGAATTACTATTTTTTTTTAATAATATTCACTTATTATACTGGTATTATATGTTGTGCTTATATCTTGGGATGTTTGTATTGCTTGATTTAATCCCTCTTACGCCAGTGAAAAACACTGACTTATGTTAGATTGTTTACACTTATTCTAGCTGTTGTTCCATAACAGCTTTTTCAAATTACAACTCTTTATTTACACATGTTCATTTAAACACGTTGGCCTCTATTAACAGAATATTAAGAAGGCCCTCCCTTATTATTTTTATTTTAAAATATATATCATTTTCTTTATATCTCCATAAGGTATCGTCGGGGAGTTCACAAGTGCATTGAATGTTGTTCCGAAATAAAAGATTTTGCAAACCACTTTCCTACGTATGTCCATTGTAGTTTTTGCAGATACAACACTAGCTGTAGCAAAGCCTATGTAAATCATATGATGAGGTAAGATGAGTTAAACATCTGTAATTACCAATTAAAATTACAGTCAGCAAGTTCATTTTAAAACAGTTATTCTTTTAGAAGCCAATTTTTCTCTTCAAGGAGCTAAAGGTCTAGCAGTAGGGAACTTTTAGGATAATGCCTTGTGTACTATTTTCCCAGCATAGTAACTCAGAATTACTGGAACTGAAATTGTATGAACAGTTAGACTAATGAAATAAGGATAGGTTTGTTAGGGAAATGGTTTCTCTATGGGTATTTTTTTTTTCCTATAGAATTTTTAAAAATGGTCATTTTCAAATATAAAAGGTCAAATGTTTTAAATGTATTTACTAAACAAATACATGTACTCTCATGAATATTATTCTTTTAAAAGCAATCCATTTGAGAGACTCCAGGATTTTTAGTGATGTTAGGAGCTTTATTGAGTCTATTTCTTTCTTTCTCTGTAATCCATTGTCTTGTCCGTTCATCTGTCCATCAAACCATCTATTCTTACATTCATTCATTGAGTGGAATGAGAGAGTGTTCCAGTCATGGGACTGTTGTTGGAATTCCTTTTTATTAATTCATTAAACTTAGGCTTTTGAGTACCTAATATTTACTCTGTGAGAGAAAGCATTTACAGCTCACATTGCTTTCATTTTTATCTTATTAATAGGGCCATCCCTTAGGATGGATTTTTATTTTTTTAAAAACAAAAATTATTTTGATATAGAGCAGTTAGGTTGATTAATCAAAGTGGGGTTCCATTTTTTTTTTTAAAGTTAGAATTGAAGTATAACTAAAAAGTGATTTTCTTACAAATCATAAAATGTCCTCTATGTTACTTTCTGGTCATTTATCAGCCACTCTTTTCAAGGATTCACCCTCCTTTCTTGATGGTTTTAGCACCTCTCTCCCACTTATTTCCCCCCTTCATGATTAATTAGCCTGACCTCATGGGACCTGGACTTCTTTATGGCCAGTTCTTCACATCAGCTTTGAAGTTCTTGTACCCCCTTTCTTACACCACTCATCATACCCACTCTTCATTTCTTTCCAGTTCCCATTACCCTGTGACTTTAAGGGACTTTGACTCCTCTTTTCAGTCTAGCAGCATCTGTTTAACTTTATAGTCAACCTCACCTTCAGTTTCCTTCTTTCCTTCCTTCCTTCCGTCTCTTTTTTTTTCTTTAATTTTTTAATGTTTGTTTATCTTTGAGAGAGAAAGCGCTCGCGCACGCAAGTGGGGGAGGGGCAAACAGAGAGGGAGACACGAAGTCCAAAGCAGGCTCCAGGCTCCGAGCTCTCAGCACAGAAGAGCCTAATGTGGGGCTTGAACTCACGAACTGCGAGATCATGACCTGAGCTGAAGTGAGAGACGCTTAACCAACTGAGCCACTCAGGTGCCTCATGTCTCTCTCTCTTTCAATTCTTCTTTATTTTTATTTATTTAAAGTTTTTCTGTATTCTCAAGATTTTAATTTAGTCTCTTAGTTGTTATCTGGCGTACTGGTAAGTACTCAATTGCAAGTCATCCTTGTAACTAGTATTTAAAACTTCACATCTTTTTCTTGTTACTTCTATCTAGTCACTGATTTCAGAAATCAGATGTCCCTCTTCTCCAAACTTCCTCTAGTTCTTCCACAGTCTTGTTAAATTAATTTGCAACGTCATCTCTTCTCTCACCCAGGTTTCTTTTGCTTATAAGTGTTTTCAGGGATTTTTTTTAAGAGGATGGAAATTTGTCCCTACTGCTTACTATCCTTATTTTTCATCTTCCTCTTACCATGAATATTTGTAAGAAGTGTTTACTAGCTTATTTGTGATTGACTTTTCTACCTTTTAACTTGAGTATCCCCACATACCAGCTAGCACTGCCACTTTAAAAGATTATTTGTCTTGTATTTATCACCATGTTTATTCACTTTTGTTCACTTTTACTGCTCCATTACTTCTTTAGAGTATTTGACATTGTCATCATTCACTTTTGAAAGTGTTCTCTTCAGCTTAAATTATTACCACTATCTTTTGCCTTCCTTTTTGGCTACTCCTCTATTTCATTGTCTTTACTTCCTTTAACTCATCTTCTTTACATTTGCTTTCTTGGTAACTTAACCTGTGTCACTTTTACCTTTCAACTTTAAATCATCCAGTTTTAATCCTTAGTCTTGCTGAGGTCCAACTCTGTATTTCTAATTATTTTATATGTATTTTTACCTTTGACTCACGAGCATCTGAAAGAACACAAATGATCCAACCTTATCATCTGTCTAGAATTTACATGGCTACTACCTAAATACTCTTGCAGGATATCATTTTGATTGGCCACTGTGCATCATGATTTTCTGAGACTTTCAGGCATAGAATTCAGTGATTCATCTCTTACATATAACACCCAATGCTCATCCCAACAAGTGCCCTCCTTAATGCCTTTCATCCATTTATCCCATTCCCCAACCCATCATGCTTCCAACAGCCCTCCGTTTGTTCTCCATATGTAAGTCTCTTATCGTTTGTTTCCCTCTCTGTTTTTATCTTATTTTTTTTCCTTTCCCCTCTGTTCATCTGTTTTGTTTCTTAAATCCCACATGTGAGTGAAATCATAGGATATTTATCTTCCTCTGTCTGACTTATTTCTCTTAGCATCATACCCTTGAATTCCACATTGTTGCAAATGGCAAGATTTCGTTCTTTTGGATCACCAAGGAATATTCCATTGTAAAAACATACCACATCTTCTTTATCCAGTCATCAGTCGATGGACACTTGGGCTCTTTCCATAATTTGGCTATTGTTAATAGTGCAGCTATAAATATTGGGGGTGCATGTGCCCCTTCAAATATGCATTTTTGTATCCTTTGGATAAATACCTAGTAGTGCAATTGCTGGGTCATAGGATAGTTCTATTTTTAATTTTTTGAGAAGCTTCCATACTGTTTTCCAATATGACTGTATCAGTTTGCATTCCTACCAACAGTGCAAAAGTGTTCCCCTTTCTTCACATCCTCGTCAACATCTCTGTTTCCTGAGTTATTTGTTTAACCATTCTGCCAGGTGTGAGGTGGTATCTCACTGTGGTTTTGATTTGTGTTTCCCTGATGAAGAGTGATGTTGAGCATCTTTTCATATGTCTGTTCACCATCTGGAAGTCTTATTTGGAAAAGTGTCTGTTCATTTTTAGCCCATTTCTTCACTGGATTATTTGTTTTCTAAGTGTTGAGTTTGAGAAGTTCTTGAAGGATTTTGGATACTAACCCTTAATCAGATATGTCATTTGCAGATATCTTCTTGGGAGAATTCTGTTTGTTGTCTTTTAGTTTCGTTGATTGTTTTCTATGCTGTGCAGAAGCTTTTTATCTTGATGTGGTCCCAGTAGTTGATTTTTGCTTTTGTTTCCCTTGCCTCCAGAGACATGTCTATTAAGAAGTTGTTGTGGCTGAGGTCAAAGAGGTTTTTGCCTGTTTTCTCTCCAAGGATTTTGATGGTTTCCTGTCTTATATTTAGGTCTTTCATCCATTTTGAGTTTATTTTTGTGTATGGTGTAAGAAAGTGGTCAGTATTACTTCTTCTGCAAGTCGCTGTCCAGTTTTCCCAGCACCATTTTGCTGAAGAGACTTTTTTCCATTGGATATTCTTCCTGCTTTGTCAGAGATTAGTTGACCATACATTTTGGGGTCCATTTCTGGGTTTTCTGTTCTGTTCTATTGATCTGTGTGTCTGTTTTCGTGCTAATACCTTACTGTCTTGATGATTATAGCTTTGTAATATAGCTTGAAGTCCACAATTGGGATGCCTTCAGTGTTGGTTTTCCTTTTCAACATTACTTTTGTTATTTGAGGTTTTCTGGTTCCATACAGATTTATAATTGTTTGTTGTAGCTCTGTGAAGAATGATGGTGTTATTTTGATAGGGATTGCACTGGATGTATAGATTGCTTTGGGTAGTATAGACATTTTCACAATATTTGTTCTTTGAGTTGGCGAGCATGGAATGTTTTTCCATTTCTTTGTGTCTTCTTCAATTTCTTTCATAAGCTTTCTATCAGCATACAGGTCTTTTACTTCTTTGGTTAGGTTTATTCCTAAGTATTTTATGGTTTTTGGTGCAGTTGTAAATTAGATCGATTTATTGATTTCTCTTTCTGCTGTTTCATTATTGGTGTTTAGAAATGCATCCAATTTCTGTGTTTTGACTTTATATCCTGCAGCATTGCTGAATTCATCTATCATTTCTAGCAGTTTTTGGTGGTGTCTTTGAGGTTTTTACAAGAATATCATGTCATCTGCAGAGTGAAAGTTTAACCTCTTCCTTGCCGATTTGGATGCCTTCTTTTTTTTTGTTGCCTGATTGCTGAGGATAGGACTTCCAACACTATGTTGAACAACAGTGGTGAGAGTGGTCATCCCTGTCATATTCCTGACCTTAGGGGGAAAGCTCTCAGATTTTCCACATTGAGGATGATATTAGTGGTGGGTCTTTCATATATGGCCTTTATGATTTTAAGGTATGTTCCCTATATCCCTACTTTATATTTTTTCTTTTTTTTCTATTTCTGGTTTTTATCATGAAAAGAATGCTGTATTTTTTTCAAGTGATTTTTCTCCATCTCTTGAGAGGATCATGTAATTTTTATCTTTTCTTTCATTAAGGTGATGCATCACCTTGTTTGATTTATGGATGTTGAACCACTCCTGCAGCCTAGGAATAAATCTGACTTGATTATGGTTAGTAATCCTTTTAATGTGTTGCATTCGGTTTGCTCATATCTTGTTGAGAATTTTTGCATCCATGTTCATCAGCGAAATTGTTCTGTAATTCTCCTTTTTAGTGTGGTCTTTGTCTGGTTTTGGAATCAAGGTAATGCTGACCTCATAGAATGAGTTTGGAACTTTTCCTTCCATTCTATTTTTGTAACAGCTTCAAAAGAATAGATATTAACTCTTCTTTAAAGTTTGTTAGAATTCCCCTGGGAAGCCATCTGGCCATGGACTCTTGTTTGTTGGGAGATTTTTAATTACGGATTCAATTTCTTTACTGGCTATGGATGTGTTCAAGTGTTCTACATCTTCCTGTTTCAGTTTTGGTAGTTTATATTTTTCTAGAATTTGTCAATTTCTTTCATATTGCCCAATATTTTGGCATGTAATTGCTCATAATATTCTCTTATTATCGTTTGTATTTTTGTGGTGTTCGTTGTGTATGTTCGGTTTTGTTAAACCAAGAATCATTCCACCCTTCTCTCTCCCATTTGTTATAGGTTTCCCACCTGTCCTATAAACCTCTAAATCCATTCTAATCCAAAACATTGCCAATTAGGCCACCTCTCTCATACCCTTTTTCCAGTTCCCAGTGAGCCCAACCCTGTTCTTCCTTGTCATCACACACTGAGCTCCTACTCATTGTTAGTCTCTTATAGAATTAAAAGCTTCTATTGCCACTCTTAGGGTTTGGTAGGTCTCTTTTCCTTTTTATGTACTTGTATACTTGCCTCATTCACCGCCTTAGGTATCTCCCATTGAATGGCCCCGCCATTACCTCTACCCAGTGTGGATTCATATTATAGGCTTGAATTCTATATGTACAGAAGCTTCATCTTCTCCAGTGGATGAGTACCTTTAATATCTATCCTATATCATGTTGGTACTCGTAATTGGTCTTTTTCCCTCTGGTCTCATATCTGCTCCAATCCATTCTTTAAAGATTCCCGTCTCTATAAGTTGACTTCTCTTCCTCAGAATACAGTTTATTGCATAACTCATTTTTGACAGTGGTGTCTCCTTATTCTTTGTTAGTCTTTAGAATGTCCCTACTCTTCTTTTCTGTTTGCCTTCTTTTTTTGGAGTGTTTAATCACCACAACCACTCACAGGGATCATTCTCACTTTGAGCTTTATGCCATTCATTTATTCTGCCTTTTATTATATTTGTTTGCGTCTGTATTGTTTCCTTGAGAAGAATGGGCTCTTTGTATTCATTGTGTCACCTAGCACATTAGAAATAATAAATCATAGTTATTATTTGTTGTAATTATAAAAGGCTCTAAATAAAATCTCAGAAAAGGATATTTAAAAGTCTTGATGCATTTGGTGCATTTTTGAAATAAGACTCTTTTGAAGAAGAGCATCATTAAACATGTAATTTTTAAGTGATTTTTTTAAAAAAAAGTATTATTTGAGTTTGGTTGTTTAAGTTACTGCACCTTATTTGCTTATATCTTTTAGGTAGCTATTGAAGTCACCTGAAAAAAAAGTAAATAAATAACTATATAATATAAAATATATATAAGTATAAATTATAAATATAATATAAATAAATATAAATATAAAATAAAGTAACTATATAATAATGATATTTAGGAAGCCTTCTTCTCTACATTTAATAGAATTAAGTTAACAGACATAAGTGTTTAATATCTCTTTTTCTAGCAGAGTTTACTATTTGCTAATAGTAATGGCATACTGGGTGAAGAATCAGACAAATCTGGATTTGGATCCAGGCTTTACCAATTACTTCTTACCTGGGTGACTTTGGGCAGATTACTTAACCTGACTCTCAGTTTCCTTTTTTTAAAAAGAAAGTCACTGTTATACTTACAGAAAATGTACTTAAAGTGCTTCATAAAATGATGTTTGCTTAGGAGATATTAAACGTAATTATAACGGTTATTATTTCTGAGTTATCATTGTTAGGTGTTAGGATAATGCCTTTAATTTTCACAATTTCGTAGGACAGAGATATGTGGTAAACAAATCCCTATAGGAGCACAGAGAAGGTAAGAATGAGTTCTTTAATCAAGAAATAAGGGGAGTTATTCTCTAAATGACATTCACTTAGGCTTTGGAGGATGATTTGAAATTTTTCCAAGGAAAAAGAAAGTTTGTGTAACAGTTTGGTCCTATACAATGAATAAGAGTACTGAATTAATTTTTATAAGCTATGCTTGAGTTCATTATATACTTTGTATAGATATAGTGGCATTAAATAATGATCATTAGAGAACAGTTGGATTATTGTGATAACATAACTGATATCCTGACTAGTCTATCCTCCACCACACACTTTTTTTTTTTTTTTTTCCCAATTTTCCCTTTCTTTTGTTGCTACAGCAGGCATATCTGGTCAGATCATTTTTGGCCTATAATCATTTGCCTTCCTAATATTCATTGTCATGAAGTTCAGGTTTTTTGGAGAATCTGAGGCCTTTCAGTATTTAATTTCTAACCACCTTTTAAGTTCCTTTAATGCTTATTTTCTTCAAAATCCCTCTGTATCTTGCTCTTTGATTTGCCTGGAGCAAGGCAGTAGTGACCTTCTTAACTTAAAGTAACTCCTAATTGTTAGCTAGTTACTATTCCATTTATCTTCATTTTTTTTTTAGGCAGCCACAAAACTTCATATGTGTAACTATTAAAGTTTATCTTATAATTATTAATAAATATGTATTCATTTAAAAGCATTTTTTAGGCATTTATTCTGTGCTAGCTGCTGTTTGACTGTTTCCCCTATCCCCCATTGGCCCCTTTGACCTTGAACTATAGGGCATACAACTTGGCCTCTTCTTTTTGTATCATCAACCTCTAGTCTTGGGTCTTAAATAAGGTATACCATCAGTATTGTTGATATTCCTTTTGTGTTTCATCAGAAACAAAATTGTTATTAGATTGAATTAAGATTATTAAGAAAATATGGTCAAAGAGAGTTTTTCCCCCATTTTTAGAGAATAGCTTAATGAGTTTTGATAATTATATACAGGTAGTGAACTTTAGAACCTAAATTTTATATGTTTTTACTATATTGTTTATAAAGCAATATAAACTCTAAGACAATTAAAACTTTTTTCTCTATTTTCCTTATTCCTAACTTTATGCAGATCTAATAAGAAAAGTTGTTGTTTTTTTTCCTTTTTATTTGTGAGCTATATAGATCCACTCCTATAATACAGGGATAATAATAAAAGAATGGAATTTATGTAATAATATAAATAAAAGGGCATGATAAGTTTTGGTTTTTTTTAGATAGGGACCTCTAAATTAAAACTGTATTCAGACAACTAGAATTGTAAAATTACCAACATTTTAATAAGATACAAGTTATAGACAGAAATGGAAGCCATCAAAGAGATCCTAAAATATAATTTTTTCTTCTCTTCTTACCAAATAAATAAAACCAAAATAGGCCATTTGAGGAGAAAGAAAAAATAGCTTTTAAAAGTAACTTTTAAATCTCATTTAAAAAATTATTTTGATTCACATTCTTTGAGGATGAGATAAATCTTGGATTTATTCTCATATATGTGCACAAATTTATGCACGTAATTTCAGTGTTTTCCAATTCCTGTGTTCTACAAAAAACCCAATTATTATTTTTGTGATGTTGTCTTGTATTTATAAACTCTAATAGTATTTATCCTCAAATTGAAGAAATGACTGTTAGAAGTCTTCTGAAGATATTTTCTGGGGATTATTGCTAGTGACAGTATATTTCTTTTCCCATCCGTACCTGCTGTGTTGGTAATGGTTACCTTGTATTTGAGAGTGACCATTGACATGGATAATGGCTACTTTGAGTCTATCAGTATGTACTGGGGCTACTGCTTCTCAGTATTTAGCTTGCATAAATAAGAATCACTGGAAAATCTTGTTAAAATGGTTTCTAGTGGGCTCCACTGCCAAAGATCAATTCATTTAAGTTTGTGGGAGGCACAAGACTTTGCATTTCTAAATAATCTCCTAGGTTATACTGATGTTATTAGTCTATGACTCTACTTTGAGTAATACTATGCTAATCTAATCCTGGGTTTCTAATACAGGAAAACTTTCTTTACCAGATTAAAAAGGATGTACGAAAGCTATTATCGTGGGTACACAGTATGGTTAGTGGTTCTGTTTTGTGTTTAGGGGAAGCATTATTTTAGCTCTAGGGTTCTGCTTAAATTTTTTTTTTTTTAAAAAAAACCTCTACTAGTAATTGCAAAGAACTCTTTAAAATGTTTGATTTTACAAATGGTAAATAGTGACATTTAGCTGAAGGACTGTTTACTTCAAAGATCATTTGGATTTTACTCCCCCCGTCCTGACACAGGCATGTTAAGATTGGAAAATGATTTAAAAAATGATTATTGATAATGATTCATATTATACAAAAATGTTATTTGCAAACATTTAAGAGTGTCTTCAACTCTTCTGTAACAGATGAAAAAAAAATGATGTGCTTTACTTTTAAAAAAATTTTCTTAAGTGTTTCCTTTTTTTATGTAATGGTGAAGTACTAGTCATACAAGAATACACTTGGAGAAATATGTGTCACTAGAAAATAAATAGATAAAATGGAATTTAAGATAAAATGTTGAATTAAACAGTGATGATAAACATTATTTTATTACTTATATATCATGATCTTTTATTCAAAACTAGAAACTTAAGTATAGACTTGATAATAAAGCTATAAATTAATATGACTTATTGTATAATAATAAAATTTGTTTTATCTCTCTAGCTTTCATAGTAACCGTCCAAGTAAAAGGTTTTGTATTTTTAAGAAGCATTCAGAAGATCTCAGGTAACTAGTTGATCTTTTTAAATTCTTTCTATTGAAAAATTGTATAACTTAAATTATATGTGATGTATATGACATCTTTATTGAGATATAGTTCATATAACATCTAATAGTACATCTAATAGTGCCTTTAAATAGTACAATTAACAGTTTTTAGTGTATTCACAGAGTTGTGCAGCCATTACCACAGTTAATTTTAGTACATTGTGGTCATTCCAAAAAGGAACTCTGTACCCATTAATAGTCATTCCCATTTCCTTCCAACTGCTCCCATCCCTAAGCAAACACTATTCTAATTTTTGTCTGTATAGAGTTATGTATTGTGGTCATTTCATATAAATGGAATGACACAATATGTGTTCCTTTGTGATTGCCTTTTTCCTCTTAACATATTTTCAAGATTCATCTATGTTGTAGCATTTCAGTACTTCATTTTTTTAAATTGCTGAATAATAACCTATTGTATGGATCTACCATAGTTTGTTTAACTATTAAGGTTATTTTAATGTTTTTTTTAAGAAAGAATCTTTGTTTTTAATGTTTTATTTATTTCTGAGAGAGAGAGATACAGAGAGAGAGAGAGAGAGAGAGAGACAGCATGAGCAGGGGGGACAGGGGGCGGTTGGAGAGAGGGAGATATAGAATCTAAAACAGGCTCCAGGCTCTGAGCTAGCCGTCAGCACAGAGCCCAAAGCAGGGCTCAAACCCCTGAACCGTGTGATCATGACCTGAGCCAAAGGCGGATGCTTAACCGACTGAGCCACCCAGGTGCCCAAAGATTTTTTTAACTTTGAAGCCATTATGAATACTGCTGCTATAAACATTTGTGTACGAGTTTTTGCCTGGATTTATCTTTTCATTTCACTTTAGTATGTATTAGGATTAGAATTTCTGGACTCTATGTTGAGCCTTTGAGGAGCTGCCAAACTGTTTTACAAAGTACCTTTACTATTTTACATTCCCACAAGCAGTGTATAAAGGTTCCAATTTCTTTACATCTTTGCCAATAATTGTTATTAACTCTTTTTAATCACAGCCATCCTAGTGGGTATGAAGTGGTATCTTATTGTGGTTTGTCCTATATTTAAACCTGGTATTGGAATGCCCAATTTAGAGATCTAAATGATTGCTACTGGACATTAGAGAGTTCTCTTCATTATGTCCTTAGATTAGAGGTATGATTAGCCTGTATTCTTTTGCTAAATTTGTTTTCTTTGTGACAAGTCATGTTAAGATGATATCTTCATGCATTTGTATTATAAAATGAGAACAAAAATAAGGCTGTACAACAATATTTGAATATTAAAAAGATATCTTAGATACCTAGTAAAGTGACTAATATGTTTTTAGTTTTGAAATAAATTTCTTGAAACCACTGGAATTCTTGAAATTATCATGTAGCTTCATAATTCTTATTTTATATTTTTCAAATAAAGATAAGTGTACAATTTGCTTACTGTGCAGAAAGAACTGTTGATATTTCTAAACATACTGATAATTAATTTTGGTTGTACCACACACTTAGAATCCACTGAGCACCATTTTTTTTTTTTTTTTTTACAAATAGCTTATCGTCAAGTTGGTTTCCATATAACACCCAGTCACTGAGCACCGATTTTTAAATATTCCTCTGAATTCTTTGGATTCTCTTGTTCTTTATTTTTTTCATGTTGCCATTGCTACTCGGAATATCGGTGTCTTTGCTTCACCAAGCTAATATATAGAGATAAAGTTAGCCAATACTTATTTTGGTGCTTTGAGCTAGTAGAAAAGGTAGAAAAAGGAATGATACTGTGTTTCAGGATCTTTGTACTTATTGGTCCCTTTGACTAGTTTTGTTCCCCAGATGTATTCTGTTATCTCTTTTTGGTTGCTACACTAAGCCTTTCCTTGACCACTTGATTTTTAGATTATATCTTCTCTCCTGTGCTTCACTCCTGCACTCCCTATATCCTTTTTATACTCACTTTTATTCAGATCGTCTTTTATCATCTGACATATTGTATACTTCACTTTTAAATTTTTGTGTGTCCTCTCTCTAGTATATGTGAGGTTTAGATTTTTGTCACTGCCAGGCATTGTTTAGTCTCTGGCACATGGTAGTCACTCAGTAAATATTTGTTGAATAAGTTAATGCATATGTTGAAAATGACTTATATGAACAATAGGCCCCGTCTATTATATAAGGATCAGTGATTGACAGGGAAAGAAGATTTTGATTCAGTTTTTTAAATGCATTAGTACAGATTTTAAAACATTTACTGATTTCGAGGAAATAGATTAAGATTATATTACATGTTGCCCTCACTAAAAATGTTTATAAGAATAAAAAGGGTTTTATTTGAAAGATGAGACTTTAGTTTGGTTTTTTTTTTTTTTAAGTTTTTATCTATTTATTTTGAGAAAGAGAGAGAGCATGCACACAAGGAGGGAAAGGGCAGAGAGAGAGGGAGAAAGAGAATCCTGAGCAAGCTCTTTGCTTTTAGCACACAGGGCTTGATCCCATGACTGTGAGATCAAAATCAGGAGTTGGATGCTTAGCCAACTGAGCCACCCACCCAAGTTTGAATTTTACTTTACTATTTTCAAGCTTAATTGTGTGTATGTGTTTTAAAGATCTGGAATACTTTTCTTTCAACTGGAATAGGTATCAAATTGAAGACATCAATTTCTGTGAATGGATGCAGCATACTTATAATAGTAGAACTTATAATTTTGTAATTACTCTTTAATTAGATTGAAATAGTCACTTTTTAGCTATTCATGATACATCTACTAAGTGCATAACATAGCAGGTGCTGTGAAGAGGACAGTGATGAATTACTCTTGGAACCAACCTTCAGGGAATATACAGTTTATTGGGTGGGAGATACAGAGTGAACATATAAAACTATAATAAAGCAAGGAGGATTTTAATAAGTACAGGGTAATTTTTTTTAAGGGAAGAAGGATTGTTTTACTTGGAAATATCTGCACCAGTGTTACATATACTTGGCTTTAACGTATAAATATCATTTATACTGATAGGTGCACCGAGGCATTTGAATTAGAAGGAATAGTGTGAAAATGAGAAAGTACAAGACATACCAAGGGAGTACTTAGTAGTAAATGGATGGAGCATGAAGTTCAGATAATAGTAATAAGATTGAAGTCTAGAGCAATAGTTGTAAGCCTAGAGCCAAATAGTTAAGTGTTGAAAATAAGGTTAAGGAGCTTGGACTTAATTTGGAGAGCACTGAAGAACGTTTGATATTTTATATAGAATCAAGTGATACTGAAGGAAGGTTTAACAATAGATGAATGATGCATGAATCCTACAGGTTGGGACTATGTGTAGTTATGAACAATTTCGTTAGGGCCTAAGTTAAAATGATGAGGCAGTATTGTATTATCTTTGAAAATATGGGCCTGGAATCAGAGTGATCAGTTTCAAACCTAGTTCTGACCTTTACTGGCTTTATGTCCTTGGTAGTTTACTAAGCTAACTTATTAACACCTACCTTTTTGGGTTATTAAAATATTTAGATAAGATGATAGATGTATGTCTAAAATTGTTAGCTTGGTACAGTATAAATAATTAATATTATAAAATGCTTGCCATACTTATTATTTTAAGGAAGAAGAGACAGAGATAACTATAGTTTGAGCTTTACTATCAGTGGGAAAAATATCATAAGAAAGGCCAATCGGGAGAAATTGATTTCGGGAGAAAGTACATGATTTTAGTTTAATAAAGGTCAGTTTTAATGTGCTAATGTGACATCGAGGTATAAATACACATCACACTGTTAGATTAGAGCTTCAGAGAAGTCAGTCTAAGGCATGCTATTTGTTGGTATGCTATATTGGCAAAACACTTAAATTTTTAAAGTATGTGATGAACTTCAAGACTATATTTATGCTTTGTTAATAAATTGACAGTAACAATGATTGCATTACATGATGTATACGTTTTTTTTTTTCACCTAAGCCAAATAACTTACAAGCAGGATTCCAAAGAATTTCATGAACCCATAAGAGGAGGTGTAACCAGAACGAATAAGGGAAATAGAAAGCTATCAGTTACTAACATTACTTCTCTCTAGCCTGACCTGCTGAGACAGGATGATCTTGTCTTTGTTCTTTTCTCTGAACTTGGATTCCATTTTCCTTTCTCAGCGCAACCAGCTTTCTCTACTGGTGACTCAAATATAGTAGTTCTGGTCTTCCTCATCTTCCCAGAATAAGAAGTTTGATTATAAATCCCAGTTACAAGTCCTTCTTTAGTGAACGTCCAAGTAACTATGACTAGTGGAATAGTAATTTAGCTACTACTTAGCATTGAGACTACTTTTATTTTCTGCGGGGGTAGTTTGTTAATAGAGATATAATTAAAGTTAAGTATTTAAATCTTAACTTTCCTTAAGCTTTTAATTTTAACTTTAAAATATTCCATTTAGAAATCTAGTAAATTAAAAAAATGTTTTTAATCTTTATTTTTGAGAGAGGGAGAGAGACAGAGTGTGAGCGGGGAAGGGGCAGAGACAGAGGGAAACAGAATACAAAGCAGGCTCTAGGCTCTAAGCTGTCAGCACAGAGCCCAAAGTGGGACTCGAATTTACAAGCAGTGAGATCATGACCTGAGCTGAAGTTGGATGCTCAAGGGACTGAGCCACCCAGGCACCCCACTCAGTGAAGTTTTCTTAGGGGAACAAGTAATCTTGGCCCCAGCAAGTCGACCAGTTCACAGTGCTGATATACTAAGTACCTAAAGCTTTGGACTTTTATAACGAATTAACTACTTGAGTTAATACAGTGTTAAATGAAAATAATGGCAGTATCTTTAACACATGGTACACAATTGATGACAGCTACAACATGATCTATTTGTAAAGCTTTAATGTTTCTCTTCTAATGTTTTCATTACCTAAGTAAAACACTAGATTGTAAGCTCTGTTAGAGCACAGACTATTTTTGGTCATCATTATAATCTCAATATAGTATAATAGTATACAGTATGATACAGTAGGTATCAAGAAGCCTTAGTAAACATACATATATGAATAAATACTGTATACTTGCATTGCAGATGAGCAAAGGCACAAGGTAGATTTTGACTTGTTGAAGTGACACAAGTTGTTGGTGGAGCCAAGGTTGGGCTGTAGGTTTCTTGTGAAATAGATTTTATTAGCAACTGACATGAGCGGTAAAAGTTTATAAAACAGAGGTGCCTGGGAGGCTCAGTTAGTTGAGCATCTGACATTGACTGACGTAATGATCTTATGGTTTGTGAGTTCAAGCCCTGCATCAGGCTCTGTGCTGACAGCTCAGAGCCTGGAGTCTGCTTCAGATTCTGTGTCTCCCTCTCCCTCTGTCCCTCCCCTGCTCTCTCTCTCTCTCTCTCCCTTTCTCAAAAATAAATAAACACTTTTAAAAAGTTTGTAAAGCAAAAATACTTTCTGTAAATAAATAGTAGCATTATTTGAATATGGCTCTTCTGTTTTCTAGAGAATCATATCAGTTATATCAAGTTTCTATAATAAAAATGGGAGTGACATGACACAAAAAGCAAATTATAGAAAAATAATGATTGAACTTGTGTATGGATTTTTATAAAAGATAAAAAAGCCTTTTCTTTTATACTATTTGCTTTTTTTATAGGGGCATTACTCTAGTGTGCCTTAATTGTGATTTCATAGCTGATGTTTCTGGCTTAGATAATATGGCCACACACTTAAGTCAACATGAAACTCATACTTGTCAAGTTGTACTAGAGAAAGGTACGTATTTATAATTGTGTTACTTTGGATTTTTGATATTTATCCCAGTATTTTTGGTCAGCCACGATATGAGCTCTTTACTAAATCAGTATTCTCACTCACATTTCATATGCTGTTTTAAATATAACTTTTCTTCTACTTTCAGTTTCTGTTTGTATCCCAACTTCTGAACATCTTTCTGAGTAAGTTTAATTTTTAATTCAGTGCAATTTAGTTTGATGGATTTTAGCACTATTGCATTTTAAATGTGACATTTAATAGAAATGAAAAATATTAAAGTATTTTGTTTTTTTGTTTTTTGTTTTTTTTAAAGCTGCTTGTTGAAATAGGTTCCTGCTCTTTGGAGCTCGTGACCTGGTGCAAGACAAGTTGGAATTTCCTAAGTTCAAAGTTCTGAGATGTTTTCTTACACAAAGGCAGTTAAGCAGCCAAGTTCATGACATTAGCTCTCATTATTCAGCAATTTTCAGCCTCAAATGGGACTAGATTCTTATTCCACCTTATCTTTGTGTCAGGTTGACATATCTAAATATATGTTTTGTTTTTTATTTCCAGTTGGCTCTCTCCAAAAATAACTTTTGTTGCTGCTACGGTCATAACTTTGCTTAAAATAATTTGAGTTTATCTCTGCTATACATGCCTCAGAATAATACATTCCAAATGATATAGCTGTTTGTCTTTTTGTCTGTTTTGTCTGCTTTCTTAATTTCTTATAAGTCTTAAGCTTTTAGGCCAGATGATTGTCTTTTTCCTCATCTGTTGTCTGTCATTGTACTATTTTTCTTATTTTTCAGATGCAGAGGCAGCCCAGAGATTTCAAAAAATGTCCAGGGTACACCTGGGCAGTGTCCCCCTTCGACGGACACAACTGATGCCTGTTCTCTCTTTCCAAGGAATGTGAATAATTTGACTGTGGGACCTGTTCTAGGTTGTGGTCTCAAGAAATCAGATTTTGGGGAGACTCCCTTCCTTCATGGCTGGCCTCCCGTAAGGCTGATGCTGATTTAGCCAGAGATGGTTTCAAGGCCCACCAAATTGAGCACAACTTCCCACTGGGGGCTTTGACTCTTGATCTTAGACATGTGGGTCACTTGTGGCCAAGAAAACCCATTCAGATCAGTGCTTCAACATGCAAGTTGAAGTGTAGTCATTTGGCTGCTGTCTTTTAATCTTTATGTAGCGTGAATGCAGTCCAAGGAATACAAAAGCTCTCTGGTTGTTAGGAAACCATGGTTATTTTTATGTCCTTGGAACAACAGGTCTCTAAATTTATGTTCCAAATTGCAGTTATTTTTCTATCATTTAAAATATATTACTCACTGCTAACTTTATAGTTTTTTTAGCAATACTAATTCTCATATTTTTGAATTTTAAAAAATTTAATTTTGGTAGGTTGGTTTTATGTTCTCCAAATATACTGATGTCTATTTTATGATGTCTGTTTTTATATTCTTTTTTAAAAAACTGTTGTTTAGTGTTTGTTTTGTTAAGAACTCCAAGAGAGTCCCTGGAATTCTCTATGGATTCCTTTAATAGCTGCCTATTTATAGCTTTTTAATTTGGCTGTTGTTCAGACCATTAGACACTATTATATCCTCTGTCTTACTTTGGGATTTTTATTATTAATATTATCTTAATAATTGTGAAAGTGTAAAGAATTAGCAGAAACTCTTCTTATAGACCTTAAAACAAGTTTTAAAGTCACATATTTGTATATCAAATACATAGTAGCCACTTAACCATTAAGGTAGTCTCTTTGGGTAAAGGTAACATTAAAATAATGGGAGGCAATAATGCAGTTGTTTATATTATATACATATATATATTTCCTCATACATATGTATATTTTAAATATTGAACATTTGTTTATTTTAGCTATATTATATACAGATCTAAACAGTCTTGATGCTATTACTTTCATTTAATAAAAATTGTATTGTTTAAGTGCCTCAGGAATTATTTACCAATAAAGAATTCATATGAAAGCTATAGATTTTTATCATATAAATAGGAGCATTGCTTTAATTGTTTTATGGAGGCCTTGTTATTATTTGGCCTGCAAACTGAAAGCTATGTCTGCTTAATGCATCTTGCATTTTTCCCTCCAGAACAATTGAAAGGTCACTATATTATACTAATTTCTTGAATTTTAAAAACAAGCCTCTTACCTGCTGTGAGGATAGGAGGCTCTGAAAGTATGACCCAGTTATGTTTTTTTACTCTAAAATCAGAACTTCTTTAATTTTACTTTGAAAGAGATTTAAAGCCAATTTAGATGACTGCTTATTATGAAATGTACTCCTTGCAAATAATAATAAGTTGAATCCATTAGTGTTACATTTCCAGACTAATTTGTTCTGCAAATGAATGGTTTTCCAAAACCTCCCCAAGTGCCTTGTTTCTTAATAAGTTGACATGGTGATATATTAGTCTTTATTTCCTTATCTGTCTCTAGAAAGTTTTTGTCATTCATCCTCTTCCTACCCAATTTTTTAAAATATTTTAAAATTTTTCCCAGAAACAACAACTTCTTTCCATTTTTAGCATAAGTTCCTTTTTGTTTATAAATCTTTGTTTTGCTCTGCTTTGGTTAAAGCTCAAAACTTTATGATAAACTACATTATTTTTTTAATGTTTTATTTAATTATTTTGAGAGAGTGTGCACAAGCAGGGGAGGGGCAGAGAGAGACAGAGAAAGAGAATCTCAAGCAGGCTGTGCGCTTCCATCAGAGTCTGATGTGGGGCTCGAACTCATGAACCGTGAGATCATGACCTCAGCTGAAATCAAGAGTCGGACACTCAACCGACTGAGCCACCCAGATGCCCTGATAAACTACATTCTTGATAAAACAATGTAGGGTACTACATTGTATTCTTTCCTAGGACTCTATCTTTATTTTCTTAAAGTTTAAATTCTTAAAGTTCTATCACCTATAACTCCCTTTTTAAAAAGTTGGTTAAATAAAACACTTAAGGCAGTTCATGCAAAATTTACTTTTATAGGCAGTTGGTTGAATTTTAATTTGGTGCTGATAAGTTTTAGCTTGAATCTGATTCCTCCTTCTATCAAGTTTATTCACCTGATCAGAAATTGTCATTTCATGCATGTGTGTCTTTGGTGACCACTGAATAAAGGATTGGTTTGTTTGAGTCCATCACCATTCTTAGAGAAATGACTCCTACACTACAGAAACTTAGGACTCTTGCCATGTTTATGTCACATTTTGACAAAACACCTTGCTGCTTTGGGCCTTGTTTATTTATTCAGTGGTTTCTTAAACATCTAATTTGTGCCTGGCACCATTCTAGGTGCTAGAAAAATAAACTGAAATCTCTGCCCTCCTCCAGCTCATGTTTTACTTAGTGTTGAAAGACAGACAATAAAAAATAAAACATATAGTATGTTAGATCTCTGGGGAGAAAAAGTGAGTAGAGAAAGGGGGATAAGGAGTACAGGGTGGGAGGTGGGAGGCTTCTCTTTAAAAGTTGGTGGTCAGAAAAGGCCTTTGAGTCAACATTGGAGTAAAAACTTGAAAGAAGAACTGCAAGGAGACTGGATTAGTTGCAAATGAGTGAGGAAGAGAGAGAGTAGTAGGAGGTGGAGCATGGGAGGTATTGAAGGCCATGTGTGAATTTGGCTTTTACTCTGAGATAAGAAGCCATTGATTAGATGATTTTGAATAGTGGAGTCTTGTATACCTCAGTAAAAACTACAGTCAACAAAAAACCTTAAATAGAGAAGAGTGTTTATATTACTCTAGCCCCTGTCTTGAGAATAAACTCTAGAAGACCAAGGGCAAATTTGGGGAGATTCGTTGGGGGACTAATGAAATAATCTGGTGGGAAATGGCAGGGAGTTAGGGTAGGCAGCTAGCAGTATGGGTGATAAGTTTGATTTTGGGTATATTTTCAATTTGTTGGTGGTTTGGATATAAAGTAAGAGAAAGTGTTGAGGATGATTTCCTAGTTATTACACTGAGCAACTAGAAAGATGGCATTATTGTTTTTAACTGAGATGGGGAAGACTAGGAAGAATAACTTTGGAAGGGAAGATGAAGATTTTGACTTGGGACATGTTTTAGTTTGAGATACCTATTAGACATCCAAATGGAGATGCCATAGTCTTTCACTTGTGTGAGTTTAGGAAAGTTTCTAGACTCTAAGGATCATTGAACATTGTTAAATGTCATTGGAATGAATAGAAGTAAAACCTCAATAATATGAATAAGTTGGTATATCATATCACTGTTGGTATCTTGATTATGATTTTGTACTATAATTTTGTAAGATGTTATTTTGGAGAAAATTGGACAAAAGTACATGGAATCTATATATATTATTTCTTACAGTTAGTTGTGAATATACAATTGTCCGCAAACAAATGTTAAATTTAAAAAGGTCATGGGACTATAGGAGATTACCAAGGGACATAGTAGAGATAGAGAAAAGGTAAGGTCCACAGTTTGACATCTGGGGAATCTGACAATAAAGGGTTAGGGAGATAAAAAGGAGGAGGAGACTAAGCAGGAGTGGCCAATAATACAGAAAACCAGGGGAGTGGTGGTGTCCTTGGAGTCTCAGTTACTCTTTTTGTAAATAGGAGTGCAGACATGTTGTAGGGTTCTGGAATTCTATTATTCAGTATTGGTTATACCTACATGCTATATAATTTGTTCTTAGGAGAAGATGATTACAGAATGCATATATCCTTATCTCTCGTAATGGAACCCTTTGACCTTAGGGAAACTAAATGTCTGCATTACCCCTCAGCATGTTTAACTCTCTACATATACTTTCATAAAAGTAATTCTCTTACATTTCTATAAAAGAAAGTATCTAAGTCATTGTTTCCCAACTGAATGGTGGAACTAGTGTGTCCAAAATTTACAAGCTATCTGGGGGGAAAAGTTTCCATGGTCAAATAAGTTTAGGAAATGCAAGTTAAAATTATATATTTTCTTTAAAAAATTTTTTTTTAATTTTAATTTTGAGGGAGAGAGAGACAAAGTGTGAGCCGGGGAAGGTCAGAGACAGACAGAGACAGAATCTAAAGCAGGCTTCAGCCTCTGAGCTGTCAGCACGGAGCCCAACGCAGGGCCCAAACTCAAAACTGTGAGATCATGACCTGGGCTGAAGTCAGATGCCCAACAAACTGAGCCACTCAGGTGCCGCTAAAAAAATT